GCAATTCAAACGCTTCTGGAACTGGTTCGGTAAGAGTAAGTGCCCAGGGGCTCGTCTCGATCTTACAGTAAACTTTCACCACGAACATTTTATCGACCCGACTAACTGCCCCTGGGTCTCCGAGGATGGCCCCTGCCCATCTCTTGTTCCCAATCTTTTCTCTTTACTCCAAATCGAGGTTAACTTGTTTTTAACGTGGCCGGCTTATCACAACCGATGATGGAAGACCCTGCAAAATACTATGAAAAACTTTTTGAGCGTCTCAATGCTCTAAGAAAACAAGAAACCTTCTGCGATGTAACTGTCGCAGTGAAAGGCAAAGAGTTTAAAGCTCATAAAGTTGTGCTAGGTGCAGCAAGCCCATTTTTTCTTTCACTTTGGGAAAGCCACATGCTAGAAAGCAACGAACAACTGATCGAAATCAAGCTTGAAGAGGCGACTGCGTCTGTCATGGAAGAAGTGCTGCAGTATATCTACACTGGAAATGTTTCAGTCACCGAAGAAAGCTGCAATGAGTTGGTTGCAACGGCGGATTACCTTCTTCTACCAGGATTAAAATCATTAGCTTGCGATTTCTTGAAAAAGAAACTGGCCATTGATAACTGTGTCTCTACGTATTATTTTGCCGACACGTATCACTGTGCAGAGCTAAAAGAAATGAGTTGTTGGCAAATTAATTTAAACTTTACTGCTGTGATGAAAACGGGAGATTTTCTGAACCTTGACATGAATCAAGTCATGGAATGGGTCTCTAGTGATGACATAAAAGTCAGTTATGAGGAAGAAGTTTTCGATGGAATTGTCAAGTGGGTGTCTTACAACAAGAGTGAAAGAGAGAGCTGTTTCTTTGACTTGTTGCACCAAGTTCGCCTGAATTGTGTATCCCAAGACTTTCTTCAGGGTAAATTGGTGAAGGAAGAACTTGTAACTACAAATAATGCCTGCTTAAACTTTGTATTGAACTCCATCGTTGCCGCACATGAAAGTCATTTCAAACCACCAAGAAAATGCCTTAAGCATTACGTCGAAGGGATTTTTGTGTGTGGTGGTAAAATGGCTTTGTGTTACTGTCCTGATGACAATAAGTGGTATTGGATAAGCAGCATGGCATATGAACATCAAAACCATGCTGTCATTCAGTACAAGGATAAAGTTTACATTTTTAGCAAACAAAATGTACATTCGATTGAGTCACATGTTGTAGAATATTATGTGCCTTTATCAAACTGCTGGGGTTCAATTCAAACAGACTTTGACTACGAAGAACAATTTTCAAGTGTATCATCATTGAGTGGTTGTTCATCCTTGTTTGCTTTAACCAACAGTACTGAAATTCCTGAAAACACAATATTCACCTACAATCCTGCTGAGAATAGCTGGGAGATAAAAGGAAGTACATCTTCTAGAAATCGATGGGGAGCATGTGCTGTGGCAGTGGGAAATCACCTTTATATTATAGGTGGTAGTAATTGTAGTGATACTGTACCAAGTGGAATAACTAAAGTTGAACGATTTGATCCAAGAGAGGAGAAGCTGGAAGAGGTTGCGTCCTTGAATGAGGGAAGACATGATGCTTTTGGAGCAGCCATAGATGACAAGATCTATGTGGCAGGTGGAATTCAAAAAAATGACCAGACTCTGACACTACTAAGCACATGTGAGGTATACAACCTATCAATAAATGAATGGCATCTGATGGCAGACCTCTGTGTACCTCGTCATTCTGCAAGCATGGTGTGCTTTAAAGGAGCTTTGTATGTCCTTGGTGGCTTGAGAAATACTCACAGTTATATCCAAACCCGAGAGTTGTCAGTTGAAGTATTTAATTCTGAAACAAATCAGTGGAAGGAGAAGAGCACCATACCTGTTTGCCTTGAAAGTGATGAAGAGACAAATAAACAAATACATTACAAGGCTTGTTTTGCAACTATTCACCATGATGTCTTGTTGGATCGCATTTTCCTTTGACAGACAATTATTTATTCTCTTCCTGAGTTGATCTCTGGGCATATTATTTTGCCGACTACATAAGACTCGAAAGTTAGAACCACCATGTACAGCACGAAGTAAATTGTAATTTGTTTACCCACTGAGCACTTAGAAGTTCATATGAACTTGTTTAAACATGTCCATGTGTTCCAGATCGAATTGGAATTTGGACGTGTTGGTTTTTGAGGAGAGGGGAAAACTGGAGCACACAGAGAAAAACCTCTTGGAGCAAACTCAACTCACACGGCATCAATGCCAGGATTCGAACCCTGGTCACATTGGTGGGAGGCAACTGTTCTCACCATGTTGCCACACTTGCTTTACGAGTAAATAGCACCACCCAAGGGACTGCTTAGTAGCTTTCATTTGAGTGGTCCAACACTAGACTATACATGAGAACTACATTTTACTCAGTTATCTGTATTAAAACATATTGACTCTGGAGGGAAAGGTCACAGTCAAGTGAGGTCAAGAACACCCCTCCAAGATTCCATTAATGAATTTATTGTTCCAAAGTTGAATTCGTTATTCGTTTCTGCAACCAGTATCAAACTCAAATCTGTATACCTGCATAATGAACAGTGCATTTTTTTGATAACTCCTCTGTATTGGCCCTGATTGAAAAATCTTTGAACGGATAAAATTTCTTTGAAGACGTTAACATTTAACTCACGAAAACTGACCTGGTAAACATTTATAGATGAATCTGAAATCTACAACCACCAATGAATTCAACTTTTGTATAATAAATTCATTTATGGAATCATGAGGGTCACTTAAGCTGGCTTGACTGCAACAAGGAGCAGATGTAGTACTGTTGTTATATCTCAGTTTGTAACTGGAATTTTACTGTGTCCCATCGGCTACTGCATGACGTATCACAGAGGAGAGGTTTTTTAAATTCCCTGACTTTTCCTGAAAAATGTACATGTAAAATTTCCCTGACGAAGTGAATTACCAATATTCACAAATTAGTCTTGATAATGGACTCAACTCTCCCCTCACAGCCACTACTCCCCCCTCCGCTTGACAACCACTACCCATCTATTCATACTGAGCTTTTAGCAAGTCACATGTAATGTAAATGAATTGATAGTTCCTTAATATAATGTGCAAAAAGGATTGATTTTTAAAACCCAACATCAGCTTGTTGTTCAAACCTCTTTCAAATTTTCCCTGACTCGAAGTGAAATTCCTTGACCTTGTAGAAATTCCATTTTCCCTGACCATTTTCTGGCCTTGTGGCAACCATGTAATCTGATAGATAGTGTCTCTTTTGTATCAAAAGCACATAATTATAAAAAAATAAGTAAATATACTTTATTGGCTGGCATAATTGCAGGTGGGCCCAGAAGTTTACACTGTGGCCCAAAAAGAATTATGTAAAGGCTATTGGTAATACAATGCATGGTATATCATCACAAGAAGTTAAAAGGGAAAAAGCTTAAAATGGATAAATATAGTCATCTGGTACAATACAGTCGATGAAAATTATGCTTAGAAAGGTACTTTAAAATTCCCTCATAATACTTAAATATTTGCTATTTTTCTTAAAGTTGCTTTCAATTGACATGTTGGTTAAGGTCGTGCAGACAGTTCCACAGGCGAGTCGCACTCGCATGAAATGTTTGGAGACCCATGTTTGACCGGCATCTTAATACAGCCAAAGCATTATTGAAAGGAGATGCTATGGGTATTTTGAAAATACGTTCTATGATTAGTGAAATAATCTGGACATTCCCCATTTACAATTTTGAACATCAGGCAAAGTTTCTTTACTTATAGTTATTAAATAGTATCATATAGTCAATCTGCAGCCTTTGTTGTTTCTACTGTTTCTACACATCCTACTGTCTGATGTGTTGCTTGTGTTTAAATGTTTATGTGTCAACTAGCCGCTTCAGCAATGTTGATCAGTTCTTGAGCACTTTGTAAGTGATCAAGTAACATTTCCTAATGCTCTCATTATGGGGATGGGTGTATAGTTCTCGCTGCTCTCTGTTTACGAGACTCCATCTTCCTGCTTTCTCCATTTCCTCAAATTTGGTGCGGTAACCAAGTTCAACAGGATCAAACGAGTCTGCACGTATGGAAAAAATAAATAGACCACCTAGGGAAAGACCAGCAACAGATGATTAAAAACCATGCCTGGATAATAAGTTGGTGGAAAATGAATGCCTAGCCCACTTTAGGCAATATTTTCCAGACTTTTTTCTAAATAAAAAAATTATTTTTCAGAGACAAGGTGATCAAACTAGTGATTGACAGAAATGATCAATCAACAGAACTTTTCCCATGATGCATTGCAAACCTGCTGTTTAAAAAAAGAGCAGTGCCGACCTACGCAGTGAGTTCTGAAACTTCTCATTCTGTGATTAAATGTTTTGGGTACATAAAAAAATCTTTATTTTCAAGACCGTTTCCAGGTTAATTTGAAATGTCAGCTTTCTCCACCCCCTATTAAAGTGGTAACCCGTGGGAAGCACGGGGCAGACTGTGATGGGTGGAGAAGGCAGACATTGCAAACTATGTCCAGGCCTGCAAAACTGCTTTGTAAATTTCAAGACTTCAAGACTGGAGGAACCTTGGTCAATGTATTTAGCAGTTTTTAGGTTCCTTCTGGAGACAAAACCATACTATTTTCTTTCTAGTCATGATCTGAGCCATGTGAAGGTCAACCCCACTTCCTCACCCTCCCCTCTCCCCTCTCTCCTTCCCCCTCTCTCCTCTCTACCTACAGTAGGTTTTGAATGGCCTGTTGAGAGCCCAATGTATTCTAACCAACAAAAACAGCAATCTCCCCCACTCCTTGCCGCTAGGGATGTGACGTCCCTAGTGACAAGAAGCAAAGAGAGGCCATCTTGTATTACCTGGTCTTACATGACGGACACACTCATCCAGCGCTACCGGCTTTGCTTGTCCATAGACTATAGTACCTGCACACAGTGTTACATCATATTCGCCAGTCTGTATGTCATCAATGGGGATGTCACTCAATGCAGCACAGATATATCGCTTGTAAACATTCCTCTCTTTTGCTAAATTCAACATTTCTTCAGAAATGTCCAAGGCATCAATGTTCCTATACCCTTGCTGCACCAGCATTTCACCAATGATTCCTGTGCCGGCCCCAGCATCAAGGATTTTGATATCCTTGTTAGCTTCAGGGAAAATGTCTTTAGACTGCATGGCTTTATTGAAGGCCTCAACACACAGGACATGCCCTTTGTAACCAAGTTTGTTTGTATCCTAAAAGATAAAAAAAATAGTATAGACAGTATAATGGAAAAACTATTTCATCACTATTACAGTCAAACCCCATTAATACGAACACTGAGGACGCCATAGAAAGTGTCCCTATTGACTGGGTGTCCATATTATTAAAGAGGGTTGAATTTAGAGAAAATGTAAAGGCTTTCTTTCCCCTGGGACAAAGCAAACTGTCTATAATAAAAAGGTGTCTGTCTTTCTTGTTTTGACTGTTTACTAGTAAGTTTATTTTGCCTCATTAAAGTCTTGGACACCACTTTTGGTGGTCTCTTTACTTCACATTAAAGTAAGTGATTATAACGTCCTTTAAAGCATACCCATCTTATCATTGATGGGGATTGTGTCTATTAGTATTGATTAGGGGTTGGGGATGGGGTGATATATATATATTAAGAAACAGGAGCAAAAGTCTCCAGATTGAGATCTCCAGAGGTTGGTATCTCTGTACAAGAAGATTGTCTTTTGTTCTTTAAAAAAGCTAGGCTACTGGCTACTGGCATGGGTAGAGTGACGATCAATTATAATATTAACCCTCTAAGCCCTTGAGTAATCAGAATAAAACTTCTACTTGTAGTGAGTGGTATTCATGGGGTTGGTACTAAGGGCTCCTTCCATTTGTCAGAACTGACCAGTCAAGTCATTCCTGTTGTAATGAAAATTTCACTTTTAATCAAAACTATCTAGCTAGATCAGTCAGATCCTACATAGTATGCACGAAAGAAATGGTTTTTTAGCAAAAACTATTTACAAAAAGCCTATTTCATTTTCAAAATTACCGCTCCGGCAATGGTCCAGCCAGCCAGTTCTGACTTTTGGAGCTGTTAGGGTGAAATTCTGTCCAGCAACATGACCTTGAGACAGCGACATAAGATTAGATGAAAATGCAATAAATGGTAAAGAGATGGGTTAAATACCAACAGGGACATGGCCACAGGGGGGGGGGG